CGGAATCAAACCCAAAAGTCACGAACAGCAGTCAATCCTCTTAGTACTACTCTTCACTGTGCAATGCGGTTTTTACAAAGGCCACTCTATTTGGTTGTAAGCTAGTCAATAGAAACATCAGGGAAGCTGCTTTGTTGGACTTTTGACACTTATATCAGAGCTTATTTGGGCGATCAGATGTTGAGAAAGAAATTGCCGAGGCATTTCCATGGAGAAAAAAATAATCCCCTACAGCCCCATCAATTAGTACTCCATCTTCTCTTAAACCTTCAAGTACTTTCCACAATCCTTAAGAGTTTTTAAGCTTGAAAACTAGTGAGCAACCCAATTATCAAAAGCCTCTACAAGTTCCTTGAGTTTGAGCTTCAAGTTAGTTTTCAATTCATTGTATGATTGAGGTAATGAGTTTTTCCTTCTATTTTCATGTTCTAGATAGTTGAGGGAATGTATTTTGATGTTATTTGGTGCTTGATTAGTATGAATTTTGTCATCGGTATGATTGAATTTGCTTAGAAATACGTTTAGAGTAGTTGGATTTGGTTTGAGTAAAAAATATAATTATGAGTTAAGACTCGGCATATTGTTTTAAATTATTTATGTGATTGATGCCGGCCTATAAAGCAAAGAACTAATTAATTTGATTATTGTATTGCACATCTTAATCAAAACTCTACATTAAAATCAATTTATCTGTTGTCCACTCCTAATTTGGCTGATCAGGGAGAGAAATGGCGGAGCTTTTGCTAGCCCCATTGTTTAAAAGGTTGCTTGATGTGCTAAGTGAAGAATTCAGATCATGGAAGTGAGTTGATAAAGAAGCAGAGAGCCTCAAAGAGGAATTCGTGCTCATCCAAGCACTCGTCAAAGAGGCAGAAGCAAAGTTAGAAAGAGGAGACACTAGCAATGTGGTGAAAGCATGGCTGAACCTGATGAGGGAGCTAGGCAACTGCATTGAGGACGTTGTCGACGACTTTCTTCAGTATGTTGAACAACAGCGGGGCCAAAAGGGAGCCATGAAGACACTAAAGCTTCATCAGAACATGGCTTCCAAGATTACAAATAATATTAAAAGAATTCACCAAATGAAGAATAGAGCTCAAACATACGGCTTGCTGGCCTTGTCATTACAAGGATCAACACCTGGCAGAGATAATACTGTTGAAGAGGATGATGCCCTTCGCTTGAACTCACTTTGCATCGAGAAGGATGAACTCGTGGCCATCGATGCAACATCGAAAGAACTTGTGGACAAGTTGGTTAAAGAATCATCAAATAAGCGCATGATAAGATAATTTCACTGGTAGGAGAAGGAGGAATCGGAAAGACCACTCTTGCT